TAAATCAATCACCCTGTATAAAATGCATTATATGGAACTTAATATTTTCGCCACAAATAACTAGTATCCCATGGCGTGGTTAGCCCAGGGGAAGGACAGGTGGTCACTAATATTTAGGTTGCGAATTATAAAACTTTGATTTTAATTAGTTGTACAATATTGAAACCGATGTGACCACCCTAAGGGGTACCTACACATTTGTGAATGTTAAAATGTTCATATTATTATTAGGCATTTTAAAGTTGTTCTAACATAATATTAAATTAAATCCATAATATTTATTTTATCACCTTATTTACATAATAAGTAATAACATATTTTAAAAACAAAACAAATATAAATTATTGTTTTCCTGTTATTGGAAAATCTTACACTTAACTGAATTTGAAGTTTCTATATTTCTATATATAAATATATTTATCTATTATTTACATTGATTCATGATGTAAAAGCATCTAGCTTAAAAGTAGAACTATAATTTATAGTCTTAAAGATTTATAGACTATATATTATGTTTCAATTGTCGCATAATTTTGAAACTTTGTACAGGCATACAGAACGCAATTTATAGACGAGTTAAAATAATAGTATATTTTTATTAAAGTATTAATTTATTTCGTACCATGTCAAAACTTATTACTTTTTCTAGGGGCTTGTGGTTCGATTCGTTGTACGGTACGCTGCTCAAAGTGGATTCCTATGGTAACATACTCGTCTGCGTACAAGGTTTCGAGTTTTTAAAACAGTGAGTTATAAATTATAAATTATAGGCCGATTTCATTAATAGTAAACATTCATTATCTTAAACTCAAAAATTATTAACGTTYTAAAAAAAATGTTTACTCATTAAAAAACAATATTTTTGAAAATAAATAATACATTTTTATCGTCATCACTTTTGAAGCAGATTTTTTGATAATTTTGATGTATAAAAATCAGATTTAGGGATAGAAGCTAATTATGTATTGTTAAGTTTCGATTAATTTAGTGGAGTAAAGTGGCATTTGAGTATCCCGCATAATTGTGTCTACTTCTTCATTCATCTGTACATAAAATAMTTATAATTAATTATGAAATGGTTCAAAATTTTGAGAAAAATATTTTGATTGGCAATAATTAACTGTATGTATGTTATTTAGAAAAAAACATTAAAAATATATGATTTTTCTTCTTTGTATATATATCTCTCTAATCACTTCAAATTATGTTAAAAAATGTGATGCTATACGAAAAAACTATTGTTTACTGTTAAACTTGGTACAAAATTGAAAATATACTTATCCAAGTTATT